CCACCTTTATGCGTTGTGCAGAAGTGTGTGCTCCCCACTTTACGTGCTGGTTTGGGACCGTATTCTCGAGCCTGCCCTAATGATTTTCGTATGCGACTTTCTATTTGAAAAGCATTGAATTTCGCATGCGAGTTTCATGAAAACGATTCAAGAATAGGGCCCCTGGTGCTAGCATATGACTCGCGCACTCTATTCTTATATCTCTATGGCACAGACAGACAGGTGTCAGGTGGACACGACGGGATATGCAACATTCGAGAATAAAGGATGGTATTACGATTTTGTCCGTACTGCGCTAATCTTCTCAGATTCCAGGAGAACCGATTGTGCAATCGATTCGCGTGCCCCACGTGCCCGTACATTTACCAGATAGCGGAAAAACACAGAGTAACCTCGTGCACCTACTTCACGGGCAAGGAACTCGCCGACATCCTCGACGCCGAATCCGCGTGGATGGGTGTGGAGTCAACGGGCGAACGTTGCCCCAAGTGCTCACATCCGCGCGCCTACTTCAGGCAGCTGCAGACCCGGTCCGCCGACGAGCCTATGACATTCTTCTACAGATGCTGCAATCACACGTGTGCTTTCACGTGGCGGGTCGACTAAACTCACAGGTAAATTCAACATCGCGAGGGGGGGGGGGGGGGGGGGGGGGGGGGATAAACGATTTGACATATGTGATTCATTCTTAAATTATTGCCACTTCTGTAAACTGGAGAAACTAAATTAAAAACTGAAGTAAGATTAGAGCTAGCTTACTATAGGATGCATGGAATTACACTAGAATAATAGTAATATAAATTTTAATTCAGAAAGATTTAGTATTTTAATGTGGAAAAATGATATAATATTTTATAAAGACAGAAAGAATAGCGTAAAACTATAACAGATCTGAGAAGAAAAAGAATATGACTCGCATAACTGTATACTGTATATTAAAATTTGAGGTATTTTTTCAACAAAAAGAAAGAAGAAATAAAACTTGTTATGCTCTTAAGGTGATCCTAAAGCCATGATCCTAACTGGTTTTTTTCAGTTTTTTTCTTAGCACTAATCTTTTAATTGGCTTTATAGAAATGCAAAATTCTTGTTTAGAATTAAAGTACGTATCAAAACCTAGGTCATGGTGGTCGAATTTATATGTGGTGGTCGTCACGTATAACAAAAAATATTAATTTTTTTTCGTTTTCGATATAAATTCGACCACCATGACCTAGATTTTGATGCGTACTTTAATTCTAGACAAGAACTTTGCATTTCTATAAAGCCAATTAAAAGATTAGTGCTAAGAAAAAAACTGAAAAAAACCGGTTAGGATCACGGCTTTAGGATCACCTTAAGAGAAGAAAGAAGAAAACAATTTGATAGAATATTTGAATATAAATTAAAATTTGATAGATAAATGACTGTACTGCTACTAAATTATAATTAGAGCAAATGTATTTATATGTTTAAAGCAGGAGAATTTAACATAAGTAAGGAATATCATTAATTAGGACTTTTAATTTTAAGAATACATTTGTGTTTTAACATTTCATTCAAACAAATCAAAATGACCGTCGATCGTTTTTCATGTATAAACTCTAATGGTTTTCTTCTCTTTATAGGTGTGGAGTTCTGTAAGTGTTCGATATATCATGAGTCCTAGGTCAATGGGCCCCATGAAAGTCATTATGAATAAAGCCAAGGAAGAAATGAATATGCTCGGACCAGAGGAGAAACACTTCTTCTGCGGCGGTGACCGGAGTGTCGCAATGGCGGCAGAACTGTTGCGGCAAGGCAAGGTGATTGCAATACCAACGGATACAGTATATGGTCTGGCCTGCCTGGCTGCCAATTCGCGAGCTGTCCAGCGGCTGTACGAGATTAAGCGACGAGACGAGAGGAAGCCGCTCGCAATCTGCCTGAGCAATGTCAAGGAGGTAGGTACATGGGGGATCCTGGATGACATCCCACCCAATATGCTGGAGTATTTACTTCCTGGACCCTACACGATATGCTTGCGACGCACGTCTGCCCTGAACCGAACTCTGAACCCAGGCGTCGATACTGTGGGCATCCGCGTGCCTGACGACAAGTTTGTGCGCAGCGTCGCCCAGATTGTTGGTCCGCTTGCGCTCACCAGTGCCAACGTCAGCAGCGAGCCGAGCAGTTTGCACCCAAACGAGTTCCGCGCGTTGTGGCCGGAGCTAGACGGCGTTTTCCACGGCTCCAAGAATTCCAAAAAGCAGAAGGATACACGTCGGATCGGTTCCACTGTGGTAGATGTGTCAAAACCATGCTGTTTTACGGTCGTGCG